AAACTGAAAACTGAAAACCGAACTGATATGTCGTAATCGGTTATTCGAAATAAATATACATAGTTTTTTTTAAACCAAGCTTTCGTTTGATAAGTGCATTAAAATGCTTTGGAAATGGACTGTAAAATTCAAGTGATGTGTTATTCCTCAAGGTCTCGTATGCACATTACGAATCTACCGTAAAACAGGATTGATTATTTCATCGCCGTTGAAAAGAAAAACTATTTGATCTTTGTATTGTTCCTTCTGGTTGCACGGAACACATCTGGAAAAGTACGTTCAAAGGACCAGAGGAGGCGGGTGGGTGGACGGGGGGGGGGGGNAGGGTTTAGTGTGTCACTTTCTTCACTGTACACTTTATGTTCTCCTTATCCACACTTTGTATTCACCGAACGGAAGCAATGTCGCCATGCTTTCATTTCTCACAACCTAAACAGGGATAGGAATCCAAGGTCAGTTCCGATGTCAAAATAACGATTCGAGCGAACTATGTTTGATTTATGACCCTCATAGCCCGCAGTAGAATCTTGTATTTTCACAAGAATTCATATATTTCTCATATCTATATGGTTTTGAAGATAGATAGAGCCGTCACACTTCGCGGTCACGTGATGTGCACCTTGATATTGGACAAACTGGAAAAATGTTTGACGCGATGATCCAACGGCCGACCAATGTTGTGGGAATCAATACAACTGAAATAGAATTAGTAAGCATACAGAACCTCGATAAAGTTCTATATTTCTACACTAGGCGGAATCTGTTTCCATTACCAGTTTATTTAGAATGTTGAAATTTTCACCCGAAAGCCTCAGTATGGTCTTGGTGGATGTGTTGAATTATGGTCTGTTCACCCTTCCGTTGCACCTCGAGAACTGTTTCCATACGATCAAGCGTGTCAAATAGCTTCTGCTGTTCACTGCCTTTTCGTGATGGAAGTGATTTTCCACCAAAGTGACAGGACGAAAATTCAATATCCGGGGAGATAACCGGGACGGTGGACCACCGGCAGTTCACTTATTGGAGCTGGCTAAACACTCTGATTCCAAATCCACCAAGAAGAGGTTAACGAGCTATACTCACCCACACCTTCTTGCTTCTGTCAGTGGTCACCGGTTTAATTGGGCACCTTGGATGTTTAACCCCGTCGAAAGGTTGTATAATCCGATAAACTGGACACCGGCCCTCAATAAGTCGCGGTTTTCACTTACCGCACCACGGCCTTGGCCCTGTTTTAAAATTCCTCAAGAAAATTCTTCTAGTTGGATTCGGGCAACCTGGCAATATCGCGCCCACATGCAGATGAAAAGGGTATTGTGCTGTTTTGTTCGGCACATAGTCTGGATTCAGACACGTGTGAAATGCACATGAGATTTTGAGCACTTTTCAGGTGATACATTTAGTTACCACCATAGCCACTTCATTGGTTCTGTCGTTTACAGTTTTTTTTAATTTACTGATGTCAATCAGAAAGATGTGAGCTGCATTGCACAGACACACACACACACATGCAACTTTGTCTCATGTCCGAGAACTGTGTTCCCCAAGTTCAACGTTAAACCAGAAGCAGATAAATCTCCTTGATTTTCATGAACAATGCTCAATTGATCTGCACTCACATTCCGGAACCTCACTCTCCTCCAATATCCATCAAATGACGCTCACAACCGTATTATTTTCCGTTTGGAATGAATGTGAAGAGTAGCAAACAATTTGTCAGGTGACTGGTATCTCGATAACTGATAAACCCGTTGTTCGGACAGCAAAAGCATCGGAAAAATCAAGATTTAAAGTTTCCAGGTTTAGAGAGCGATTCGAAAAGAAAATCCTGTTACTGTCATCGTCACAACAAGCGGACAGCGTATTTACTGAAATGCTTTCGATTATTTTCACTGTCCATTTGAACTGGTCTAAAAAGCATTTTGCACTCTCACCCGGAGCGGATGGATAGTATGCTGCGTTTCATTCAAGTGAAATCAGTTTCTTTCGTACATCTAAAGTGATTTGATGTTTTGCCTGCCAAGAAGTAGAAATTTCACTGGTCTAAGTAAAAATACAGTGAAGATACACGAAAAATAGGTGTATGGGGATAGCCTTGATGATATTTCACGCACTCGCGCGCGCGAGATCAGAGTGAAATAAGTTCTCGGTGAAATTTTTAGATTACCATCAATTGAGAAAAAGTGTCCCCTTTGTTCGTCACGATCAATACTGTCTGTCAGCTTCCGGCATTGTTTTTCAAATAAAACCGAAAATCGGGTTCATTTCTCGTCTGCAGACTGTACATACAAGTATTGATTAAATTCGTGCAAAAAACCTGACTTTCATCACACTTTTTTTTACCAACGCTTTGTGTTTTGAGCCAACATTCACGGGGGATTGAATATGATATTGCCCCACATCGGCCGCAGCACATCTGTCAAGGCGGTTAACTTCTTCCTGTTTCTGACACACGGGAAAGTTTTCAATTAAACCAATTCCCAACTGCTGTAACTGAATGAATTCTACACTTTCATTAAACAGCATTCATTCAACGGAATGGATGAACATTCATGCTGCTTTGCAAACAATATTATTCGAATCTGAGCTGTAACTTTCGAACTACTACAAATTTTATCGCAACACTCAAAGTCATGCGAATTTGAACGAGGACAAAGGAGACCTCCGATCGCCTTAGTATGTGGTTACATCAAAGTTGGAATCTTATGTAATACACACACACACAGAGAGAGGGGGGAAATCGTGACCCAGTCTTCAGTGGACAAAATTGATTGAATCCACATATTTGCATGAGTATCGTATCAATGAAGAACAATGATGTGGAGGCAAAACTTTAAACGCGATATACTACTGATTATATTGATTTGCCTTTGAGTTGCCAGACTTCAACACCGTGAAAAGTGCAGGCATTGCGTTTATCCCTAACATTTCGCCTGGTTCCACTCGTCCACGCCCGATAAATCTATAGATTACCTTCACAATTCAAAAGATTATCTTTATTTACGATACCCGAAGCTGTGTTCAATGAAATATATGTTTATTACGCCCAAATTACACCGTTTTCCGTCGTACTGTAGCCAAAACCCGCAATGCTTCAGCCATGATCCATAGTCCTTTAGTCTCGACGCACAAACTGCACTCATGTCGCTGTAGGCGAGTCGGATCAAAAAGTATCAGAATCTTTCGAGGTCAACGAATGTTACAATATTTCATTTCCTACACATGTTGATGAGATGTGCCGGTCGAATGATACACCACATGATGTTGAATTGAACTCCGAGGGTAATAAGCCCCGTTCACAAGACGACAATCCCCTATCGTGCACATTTTCTCATGGACCAAACTGACAATCCTTTAGCCTTGACCGTCACAGTTGTATCCAATGTGGCAGTGTTGCTAGACTGATGATGATGATGAGGGATGAGAGTGTTGTCCTGTGATCAGTGTTTATTATCCTCAGCCTGTCAATGTATCCACCTCTCAAGAACGGAGTTCACTTTAAGCGGAGATATGCGGAACAACGGTAGGCGTCTCCTCTGTTTTGCGGTATCACATTTGGATTCATCTCAAAATAGTGCGTCGTTTGTGTTCCAATTGAGACTTTTACTCACTGGAGCAGCGTAGGACCGTCAACTGACATGTGATTCGTCGGTAATTGGGCTATAAAACCATAACTGGAGATGAGGACAGTCATATTTGTCGTTCTATACCCACTGATGTACATATCTACAGTATGGAGAACGTGAAATCGGATGAACAGGAAAGGTCCTATCACTTCACCAGTACGGAAGATCGACGGAGAGTAGTTGAATGTGCACGCAGCGGTGATAATTTGAAAGAAGTTGCCAAACACCTCGGCATCAAGATCAAAACATGTCGTGCTATTGCAGCCACGGATCGGGAAGTAACACTCAAACCTGGATCTCACAAGACGAAATTCAATGAAGAGTTGATAAAACATTTGTGTGATGTTGTGGATGAGAACCCTACGGCCACACTAAGGCAGCTAAAGAAGAGAATGGAGACGGATTTTCCGGACATATCGATCAGCAAGACTTCGATTTATGGATTGTTGAATTGTTACTACTGAGCAACGGGATGCTCCGGTTGGTTTTATGCTTGAGAATGCGCCCGTTCCTTTGAGGTCTTTGAATGCGCAGTTACATGCCGACCACCGATTTCGATTTCTTGCACCATGTAGTCTGTTTTCTAACCCGGTGAAAGACGTGTTCAGAAAATTCAAACAGGTTAGCCTTTTTATTTGTTCAATTCGCTTATTATTTAGTACAATAAAGCTGGCTGCTCTCTGAGAACACTGAAGCCCTACGAGCTGTGTAAAATGGTTTGACGATATGGGGATATCGTTTGAACCTTTTCCAATCAACATGTGGTGCGATATTTGATACGATCACGACGGTCAACTGCGCAGCATCCGATCCCCACTCCGTATTATATCTTCACCAAGGTTTGCAACTCCAATATTTGTGGGAAATAAATTGTCCGTTGACCTCAGATTATTCCAATACATTTTGATCTGACTTGGTTACAGTGATGTTTATACGATGTTTATACGTCGAGGCCCAAGGACTACAGGTTGTGGCTAAAGGTTAATGGGGGTAGGTGTTGTCTCATGCTTTTTGTGATAGTTGAAACTAATACGCGATACACTGTAATGGAATCAATTCATTTGAGTGGATCAATACCTAATGCGTAGGTTATGCAATACGACTTCATTTCAAATGATTTTATATTCTGACTATAATCGTTCTATCTATCTACGCATTGAATTCCGGTCGACTATCGTATAGGTTGTGTTATCCGCAAAATCTCATTGTTACTGTCCTTGCTCTAGTTCAGCGGTAAGACTCGGTCTTGGAAGAAGTGTACGTTCATTGACAGATACGTACCAGTTCTGGTAAGTCAGCTATGAGTGAGTTGACCAATCATGTGTTGTCTAGGGGTTCAATCAACATCCAGTCTGTGGTTTTTTTCCCACTCGGTCAGTCACTCCGGATAAGATTAGAATGTTTGATAAAACAAATTGTCAGAGCCTGGCCATAGGTTCGAATCCTTTCAAGATGACCACCTACATCACCACCACGACCACCACCACCACTACCACCACCACCACTACCACCATCACCACCCACACCACCACCACCACCACCATCACCACCACCACTACCACTACCACCACCCACACCACCACCACTACCACCACCACCCACACTACCACCACCACCACCACTACCACCACCACCAC